ATGAATTTGTGGATTCTAATCTCAGTTCAGCCAAAGACCACCCGATGCAATTACCGCGCCTCGCACCAGAGAAAACTACTATTTTTTTTTAATAGCGAGAGTATATATATATATATATATATATATGTACAGTACATGTATCTACACGAAAACATCATCAATATATATATAGAAAGTTAAGCCAAACCAACCACCAACCCACCAAAAGACCAAAAAAAAAAAAAAAAAAAAGGAGAAAAAAAAAAAAAAAAGAATTGGCAATAATGTATCTATGCAATATTTGCTTTGGTTCGCCACTACTAACGATACCCCTGGAAAAATCCGCCAAGTCAATATTTTTTTTTTTTTTTTTTTTTTTTTTTTTTTTTTTTTCACAACCCCTTTGCCTGGTTTGTAATCCACATCCAGTACTGTAAATTTGCGAATGGGGGTCGTTAGTTTTAAATGTGATAGATACTGTACACAAGCAGACGTGAGAGGCACACAGAGAGAGACGATTGGAGGAAATTGCTTCGTTGACAGAAATAATCTCACACGCTGTCTTAAGGCGCTGGTGAGCCCGCAATATGTACGCACATGCGAAGTGCAAAGCAGATATCTGAATAACGTCCTAAACTTGGGAAATTTGAAAAGTCCGGCCGAATATATGCACAGAAAGAGAAACGAGCGTAGAAGAAAGTTTTCCAAAGAGAAGTTGTGACATGTTACGAGAAAAAAATAAGAGCATGTACCGTACCTCATTACTTAGGATTTTCCCTCAGCTAAACACCCCGCTGTCAACCTGGTCCAGTCCTGGCGGGGTGGGAGACGGGGGAGAGGAAAAGAACGGGAAAAGAACGGGAAAAGGAACTTCCCGGTTTCCAATTTCTACTATTTCCCCGTTTCAGACGCCAAGGCCATATGCACCCATCATCACATTGGACAATGGGTATGGAACTGGATTATTAGCCAACGCTTGTATTCCAAGTGCCCGTGGCCCAGTTGTATCCACATTTGTAGCTGGATTGGCATTCATGTCTACTAGACCTCGGCCAACTGGGTTCAGATTGAAGGGCAAAAACCAGGCACCGGGCTGTGCGAATTCACCTGACCAGGTGGCAGGCGCGCCCAACATGTCAAATTGAGAGTTCCATACTGTGGAGGAGATATTTGGTTCTTGTTGCGTCGACACAGTTTGGGTTGGGCTCATTCTTGCTGGAGGGTTTACGGGTATTGGATTGGGCATTTGGGGGGATGTCGACGTGGTTGAAGTTGGATCATGGCCCGTATGTGCATCGTACACAAATTGGCGATCGAGTTGCGGTAATTGGTCAGGGTTCATGGGGAAGTAGGCTGACTGAGAGAAATTGGGAGCTTGGGCTGGAGGAAGCATGGCATGGGTATTAAGGTTGAAGTCTGGGGGACGTGTCGGGTTTATGGGCACATCCACGATAGCATGTTGTAGTACCTGCTGCAATTGGCGTTGAGGCTGTGGTTGCTGTTGTGGAGGTGACTGTGGAGGCGGTTGTGATGGCGGTTGTGATGAAGATTGTGGTTGCTGTTGAGGTGACGTATATTGATTATTAGAGTTTATAGAGTTTAAAGCTGGTTGCCGTGGCTCAGTACTTGAGCCTGTCCGTCTCCTTGGGTCCTTGCGAGGGTTATCAGAATGTGACGGCGGTGAAAGACTTGCAAAGAAGTCTTCCGCGCTTTGAAGGCCATAGTGTTGCGCCATCACCGCATCAAGAGGCCGAGATGGCGGATCCGTGTAATGACGTCGTGAGAGGCCATACGGGTACTTGTCGAACCAGTCCCCATACTGAAATAGTGGAGCATTCTCTTCCTCCGAGGAACTGACCTGCACACCTTTGATGGAAGCATCCGCAAACAGGCAGTATCGATCCTTGGTGCTCTGCACCATATAGTGGAACATTCCCCAGTACGCTCATTTGGTTAAGTATCGTAGCTGTGGCGAAGTTTCTTTCGACGTGCTCAAGTCTAGGATTCTTCGAAAATAACCCCCAGATGTGTACGGTGCTGCTGCATAGGCAGAATACCAGCGAAGGGAACTGTCAGATTATAGCCTGGCGCCTGATTAACCCAACATAGAAATGTGGTTTGCGGCTTCAACAGCCGCACGACCAGCATCGCTAAGAAATGTTCGAGGAATATCCTTTGGGAGGCTTTGCCCCTGGAGAGAGGGGGATGGCAAATCGATTTAAGAAGAGAATATTTTGGTGAATAACTATATGTAGGAAGAGGAATTGATTTGCGATCTTTGTCGCCGCGTGGTTGCGCAGGTTCTCCAGATTGAAGGCTAAAGAATTAGGAAGCGAGGCTGAGAAGTCTTCTAGTTGCTTCTTCAATTGTGAGTAGCCTGACTTTGGAGACCAGAGAGGATGAGGATCCCTGTTCCTGCCACCAAGGTTAAGGTAATCTACGACCCTTCCCCAAAGCATCAACGCCCGAATTGTATATGCAGACACACCCATATTTTCCTTCGGATTAGATAGTTGGCCCACCCCTTCGGGAAGCGGGTTAAGGACCTTACCTTCCAGATCCTCTGTGGGCCCTGGAATTTCCATTTGGAAATATGACTCTTTGATAGGGAGCTGTAGGCGTAGGAACTTCTCGTTGCTAATAGGTGGCCTCTGGCTGCCAGAGGAATTATACCGATCCATCAGTACACACGCCCACATCGTCCGCCGTCGGATCTCACGATCTGTAAAACTAAATTCGGACGCACTATTGCCCCGAGGATCATCGTCAAGTTCTCGATGGAGCTGAAGAGCGTAAGCCATTCTAAAGGCTTGACCTCCAAACGACCAACTCCGTCCTCCATGACAGGCGCCAAATTCATGGAGCCCCAAGATGATAAATACAGTGAGCATCGTAATGCTCGGCTCGTCATGTCTGCTGAGCGCAATAGCTGCGGCTGGATTTGCCCAGTTTTCTCCCCGTAAAAATGCCGGCTCCGTACTGACGAGCGGGTGTGTTGAGAAGCGAGCAGAAACGGCGCAGATGGCCAGCATCAGAACAGGCGGAACAGTTCCAGATTTCAATTTGCGCATAAAACTCGGTTTATGTAGCAGGAGATAAGACTGTCCGTACACACAATCGAAGAAGACTTCCGCGAGATGTTCTTGGAGCTCAGTTGAGGGAAGAAACTCCGCGCCCTCGTTCAAAAGCTTATTGTCATCTTCAATTCGGGGCTGCCATGAAGTAGGGTTACCTTTGTTGGGTTGTCTCCACTGATTAAGCTCAGCACGGAAAGCCTCATCTGCAGGTCTCTTTCTGTGGGCTGGCCTTGATCCACGAGAGATCTGGCCTGGAGCAGGAGGCTTGACGACCGATCTTCCAATTGCGGCCATATCTCGGGTGCCATTTTTGGGTATGATCTTGATCACTCTTTCCTCCATCTTCTTCAACCGTCTATCCAGCATCGCCATGTAATCCGTGCGGGGTGCGGCTTTTCGCGTCGTGACTTTATATACGCAAGGGGTTCTAGAACGGTAACAGTGTCTACAGGCAGGTTTCTCTCCTGAACAGCGAATTTTCTTTCTTCGACAGGCGATGCAAGCAAGTGGGAGTCTTTTGCGCTCCTTCCCCGCCTTAGTTTTTAGTTCGCTCCATGGACGAGGGTTCTCTGTGTCTCCATGACCCCTGGCTGATACGGAGCTTTCACCAGAATCCCTAAAGTTGCCAGTGTTCGTAGCAGTCTTGTTCTGTCGCGCCATATCTTCCTGCACCCCTCGCGCGACCTGGTCTCTAGAGCTGCTGGAGCCCTCGGAAGACACTCCGTCCTCCATGTCGGTGTTAAGATCGTACGTATAATTTAGGTGGGTGGGAATAGATAAGACCAGGGAAGTTGGCCGTGGAAGTAAATGCACTGCGCACGGGTTATTGGGCTAGCTTGACACTCAGATGGTGTCGCATTGCTCAGATCGGAGAGTGAGTCCGAGCGGGCCACATCGAAAGCGAGGAAATAGGGCGAAGATGGCTGCACAAGCAGTTCGAATAGGAACTATCGTAGTTAGGAAAACACCAGGGCCAGATTCCGAAGCGACGACAAGGAAAGTAGGGCGAGAAAAAAGAAAGTGGAGTCCACGAGATTCAGAGGCAGCGGAAGTCCGTCGAGATGGCTATCGGAATCTGGCCGAGGAGGAAGTCTGGGGTTTGGGCGATGCGGCTTGGAAACCAGTGTCTTGGCCCGAGTTCGGGCAAGTTGGAGTCCCCAGTCGCCAGTCTAGCTCACCGAACCCTGGAATCCGCATCACAAGACAAGAGCTTGGAGGGGGAAGAGGGGGAAGGGGAATGGAAAAGAATGGAAAAGGAAAATGGAAAAGGTTAATGCCATCCACGGCCAGAATGTCAGCTGGGCCGTATCCTGAGTTTGGCTTGCCTGTCTTGTCGCTTTATTCCTGGCTTCGGAAGTGCCGCAGGCGTAAAACTCCTTGTACTCGCAGCCATCTAAGTTCACTTTTTACTTCGTTGACGTTTCGTTTTCAACTTCTTTCCTTCTTGTCCTTCCATGTTCCATAGCGCGCTTTTGAAAAGGTCGAAGCTTGTTCCAAACTGGAACAAAATCACCACAAAGTGTGATCCGTTGGAATATATGTACAGTACATTACCACTGCATTCAATTTGATATGGGATTTTCCGAGTCGAAATACTAAAAAAGGTTACGCTTGGGTTTTGACCCAGCTTCGGAGAATCATAATTTAGATGTTCGTCCATTATAATGCAGAAAGGAAATTGGAGAATCATCAAGTCCATGCCATCAGTCAGATATTATCATCGATCTATAGGTATTTGAAATATGTCATCTGTTATGCTGTGCGCGCAAAGAATCATCAGTGACTGAAACCGATCTGCATACACCAAAAGAAACAATCATTCATCAGTGCACTTGTAGGATCCAAATAAAAGAAAAAAGAAAAAAATTCTCCCCTTCTAATTTAATGCCAAAAGCAAGGGCAAGTAGCATCACAAATAAAAAAAAGACAAAAACTCTCGTTTGCCCCCGCGCGGGATTGAACCGCGGACCTCATGATCTCATTAGTACAAGTCATGCGCTACTACGACTGAGCTACAAGGGCTTGTTACATGTATTTACCATCCCATATTCGCATTATTTTCCAGCACTTGCTCTTAGTAAGCTACCGGAATATTGTTATCCCGCGGAAGAATCGTCCGAAAACGAGCAGCTTATCTCAGCAAGCTCAGATCCTCTAGTTAACTTAGTTAGTTAACTAACGTGAAGATATTAGGTGTAGGAGGAATAACGATCGTTGTTTTTACTAAACTAACTACGCGAGAGCAATACAATATGTTGGGGGGCACGTGATAGGGTAGCCGTAGTACCCACTAACACCCCCCCGTGCTACGGCGCCGCCAATGCACTGCCGCCCGGGGCCCCCCTTTGCTCAATTCTTCTAAAAACGCAATAACAATTAATTACAAGATTTGGACCCTGATTTCCTCTTTGGGAATAGGTGCCCATACAGAAATAACTGTAAAAAACAGGATAACACAAGCAAAATTCTGTAATCTGCTGTACCACCATTACCTTCAACCTTCTTTGTCAATCTCCATTAACCCAATTCTTTTAACAAATTTTTCATAAGCAGGCCTTGCCAGTGGCTTGGTGAGGCCGTCAGCTATATTGGCCGTAGAACCAACATGTTCCATCATAATTTCACCTTTTTCAACCAAATCGCGGATAAGCTCCGGGACGTGGGTCCTGATACCACCGCAGCGTACGACTTTGTATAGTGGACTCCTTGCTGTTGAAGGAATCCCCTAACCACCCAGCGAGCTCTAAACCGGATTGTCTCTCCCTTATTGTTCAATTTGCGATCAAACACCCACTTGCCAGTTAAGATATCCATGTCTGGGGTCTTCTCAACAACAATATATGTCTTCTTCTTCTCAAACATGCTGACTTCTCTTCTCATTGCCTCATACCAGTAAGTAGGCAGTCAAAAAACATGAAATCTTCGACCTTATATCCTAGGCGGATATAGTCAGTCCTTATGGCAATCAAGCGTTCAATAAACGCGCGATCAGAACCCTTTGACTTGGCTGTCATGCTTGTCATCTCTTTGTACAACCTTGTCCTCAGAACAGCAGGCCTCTCAGCGAAGTTGTCTTCTATGATAGACCATAGAGAATATGCAGATAGTTCAGAATCCTTGGGCACAGTAAAATGAGATTTCGCCTGTGGAGCAACTGAGGACCATATGTAGTTGTATAGCCACACATTGCGTTCTTTCCAAAATCGTTGCATATCAGTGCTGGCGTTATCATCAGGGCCAGTTTGCTTCTCCTCAAGGATATCATCGGTCTCAGATTGCCTCGCTGCGAGGAGGATCTCCTCTTTCCACATGGAGTAGTTTCCAGATCCAGTCAGTACAACTGGCTTCCTTATGGACCTCACTTGATCACGGAATTCATTAAGAATCTTCACAATAGCAGATGTTCTGCCTTTTCTCTGCAGATAGTTTGCTAAATCTGCACTAATGTTCTCATCACTAGCAGAGGGTTCACCTCTACTTGCTTTCATCTGTTGGACTTCATGCTGGAGTCTCGCGATCTCCAATCTCATGTGAGTTTCCTCACTCACATCATCACGGCTACCAGAGCCACCCGCGTTATCCGAGATCTCGTTGTCGTTAATTGGGTCTTCGTATTCGATATTCGACTCGTTCGATTCTTCTTCGATTGTCTCGTCAGGTTCAAATGCCCCTGGGGCAATCACCTTTCTGTTGGTTGCAGGTGTTGGTAGACCTGCGTCCAGTCCTTCTTGTTGTGCCTCCGGTGTTTGAGGACTTCTTCTTCTACGCGTCGTCACGTATTTAGTCCTTCGTTAAATCAGGCGTTCCACCCGATCTCAGATTAACCATTAGGTTCAAATCACTTAACAAGCCGTCTAGGCACGCTTTTAACGATGCGTGGAGACGTAGTTAGCACGTTATTTCGCAGCTTCTTCGTAGCTTATAAGGGCCATAACCTGTAGGAGGATAACGTTCGTTGTTACTATTACTAAACTAACTACGCGAGAGCAATACAATATGTTGGACTCCAGTTGATTCACTTGGAAAAGAAGTCGAAACTCTTTTTCTAATTGAATAATTGGAATATAACTTCATAATTCTGAGAGCATAATTCATACAGATTTTATCAAATCTCACTTGTGGTGGTGGTAGAGAGGCTTCAATCTCCATGGCTTTAATTGAAGAGGTTTTAAATACCCCCAATATTTTTCTTAAAGCTGAAAGATATTTTTCTTGGTCAGAGCGGTAGAAACATCATTGTTAGTCTCCCAAACAATAGGGACATAACTATTCATCAACTCTCCCTGCCCCAAAGGGTTTCCAACACAGGATCAGAGAGGTGGCCTATCATTGCCCAACACGCACCGTTGGCCATCGTCCTTGGAACGGCGACGGGCCACTCGCTCAAGAGGCTGAGGCCAACATAGTAAGGGTCTCGAGGCTTAGAGCTCGGCAAGGCCGGTGATTCAAGAAAAAAATTTATGGTGTGGCTTCGTCGAGGACTGAACGTTGCTGGTCACGAATTTAACCTGAGATTTAGTTTTACATTGTGGAGTGTATTGAGACCGCGCTTCCCAGTCAAAAGTTAGTGATGCAAACTTAGCCCCCATTAAAGCCACTTGGCTTAAGGCTGATAGCAAAAGAAGCTTAATTTTTGGCTCTAGAAATTTACATTGAAATCTGAAGGCCATGAAAGTAGGATATGCTGTGGCCGTGTGAATTGATCCATGTGGTTATTGAGGGACGGCGGTTAGCAGGAGGCCAAAAATGCCAGCAAAAACAGCCATTTTGGCCGCTGGCTAACCATCACATCGTTATATGGAGTAATAATTCTCTGCATATCCAATGATATTAAAACATGCACTAGCTACCATGGGTATCAAATAGAATAAATAAAAATATAACTGAATCTTCAACGGGAATTTCTAAGAAGAAAGACAAAAGGCGCCGTGTTGAAAGAACAATATCGCTTCATGAGATAGATAACCAGCACAATTATCCGACGACGGGCCCATGGTCAGGCACCCCGCGTTCCTGAGTATTCTACATTCGTTGCCGGCAGCTATTGAAGGTGGATTTGGCTTATTCTGCTATTAACATGGTTCCTTCAGAGTCCTCCTGTCCATGAATTTCTATACTCGTCCAGAGCTAGACAAAATAGGCGGATTGGAAAAAGCAAAAGTGAGTGACAAAGAAATTGGTGTATATGCTCAGAGGGATAAGGGGGTGAGATATGTTCTAACCAGGAGATAATGGAGCCGTGGGTACCCGAACAACTCGAACTCGTAAGATCGAGGAATCAGAGACCGACCCAGTGGACAGTAGAGGCGGCAGTGGTTCAAGTTCTGCCACAGGTGCAACAGAAACTCCCATCATCCTATTGATAACGGGTCGTAACTGACATCTGGACGCAGAAAAGAACGATAGCAGTGACCAAGGAACAACCATGGCCGAGAGGGCCCAGCAGCAGAGCTCTGTTGAGTCTCAGGACAACATCTCCCTGAGCTCTACTGGCTCAATGAGACCAACATCTCCAGTGCAGGCAACACGCATTTGGGAATTGGAAGCTCATGGTTCCGTACGTTGTGAAAAAAGCGCTGCCGGGGAAGCCATCCGTATCATTCTTTCCACAAATCCACTGAACCTCCAACCCTCGAGACCCGTACCGGATTGGACTCGATCAATCCATACAGCTCTTGCAGAGAGCCAACCGATAATGCCTTTTCAGCAAATGTATAAACCTCTTAGTCAGGAAGAGGTGGCCTACATCCGGAAGAGGCTGGAAGAATATATGAGACGGCATATCCATAAATTAGATGGCTTTGACTGTGCAGTAATCCTCGCGCCTGCACTACCAGAATTACCTTGAGAGGCGGAGTGAGTGGAGCGAGGATCGCAAGACCAAGTTGGCCCTATTATATGAAAGGTGGAAACGGCGTGATATCTGATGACAACCGGCTTTCGTACTGACAGAGCAAGCAGATCCAAGTCGCAAATGTGGGCGAAAATTGCAGAGGAGATGTCCATCCCCTGGAGGGCCATTGAAGCTATGCACTGGCAGCTAGGAGAACAAGAAATGGCGAGACGAGCTAGGACAGTTCCGTTCTTATTCTCTCAACCCGCGTCAAAACCTCCCCGAGTGTCACGCTCACGTCCCGTCCGGGTCCCTCCCTTTGCAGAACTCGACGCCGCATCCCAAATCGGACGAGAGTTACGGTTCCGGGATATGTTGATGCCTTGTATTTATTCTTTGGTCCCACCGCGTGAGGCCCGTTTCTACGGATCTCCCAGGCTTCCATGTCTGTGGTGATAGTATATGAAGATGTCTGGCGCAAAACCGGCCTTCGTTTGATTTTCTGTTGTAGTCCAATAATTGATGGAAGTTAGTCAAATTTCGTAAACATCGCTAGTCATACATCAACTGGAAATGTGGAGGGCAAGCACTGTTCCTCAGAGCCTGCTCAATATGCCCTCATCCATCCGATCCCTGAAACTGTCCCTAGCAGCCTACGAGTCCGTGAAACGGTGCAGTCTTTCACGGTCACTGCTCGTCTGTCTAGAGGGGACCATTTATTTAACGTGACTCACCACCCAACGAACTCATCCACCCAACGAACTCCTATTTTTTCCATGAGTCCCTGCAACCCTTCAACTTCAACCACCCACCATGCCACCCAACGAAGCAATTATAGAGCAAGCGATCGCTCAATTGAATCGACAATTGATTCCTAAATATGCTGAGGTTGCAAAGGAATTCGGAATCAATCGCGTTACCTTGATGCGGCGGTTCAAAGGTCAACAGGTCTCCAGAACAGAGGCAACATCAATCTACTGTCAGAATCTCACGAATACTGAAGAACAACGCCTCCTATTTCATATTAATCAGTTATCCAATCACGGCTTCCCTGTGACACATCAAATACTGCGCAATTTTGTATTTGAGATCACCAAAATGCAAGTAGGAATCAACTGGGTGTCTTGCTTTTATGAGCGGCATAAAGCAAAGATCAAGAGCATCTATCTTCGTGCTCTGGATCAAAAGAGAAAGCAGGCAGATAATAGCTACTATTTTGAACACTTCTTTACTCTTGTAATTGCAGTTTTTTTGCTTCTTTTCGTGTGCAATTCCATGAGCTTTTTGCTGACTTCTATTGAATAGTTGCAGGAGAAGATCAAGCAGTATAATATTCTACCTCAGAACACCTACAATTTCAATGAAAAAGGCTTTCTTCTTGGCCTCCTTCATACCCTCAAGCGAATTGTTTCTATAGAAGCTCTCAAATGGAAGCATACAATTGGAGCAGTGCAGAATGGCAGTAGAGAATTCATTTCTCTACTTGCCGGTATTTGTGCAGATGGAACTACAATTCCACCTGCACTCATTTACCGCGGGGAATCAAGAGATATGCAAGATACATGGCTTGAAGATTTTGATCCTAAAAAGGATCAGGCATGCTTCGCTGCTTCAGAAAATGGATGAAGTAATGATGAATATGGGTTAACCTGGCTGAAACAGGTGTTTGATCCTCATACAAAGCAAAAAGCAAGAAATCATTACCGCCTGCTTATATTATATGGCCATTCATCTCATATAAATATGGCATTCATTGATTATGCGGATCAGAATCGAATTTTGCTTGCTATTCTTCCTCCCCACTCTACACACTGTTTACAGCCGCTAGATGTTGGAATATTTGACCCACTTGCAAAGGCATATTCAGATCAACTAGATTTCTATACACATTCTGGCTATGGCTTTATTCAGACTACAAAGTGAGATTTTTGGCGATTATTTCATGCTGCATGGGAAATCTCTACAACTGCGGAAAATATCAAATCTGCCTTCATAGCCACTGGCATACATCCTATAGATCCTTCCCGCGTTCTCAAAAAGATTCAACCACGTCCACTTACACCCCCGGAACTGCTTCAGCAGCGTACACCTACATCTATATGAGCTTTGCGAGGTCTGATAAAGCAGGCAAGTCAACGTCACCGCCGACTTTCAGTTGATATTAAAAAAATTCTCCGTGCTGGGGAGAATATTGCTCTGGACAGAGAGGTTCTCCCAATAGAGAATAAGAATCTTCAGACTGCTCTAAATAATGAGAGAAGGCGACGCAAACGGGGTAAGTGTATGGGGTTGCTTAATCCATCAAATCCCTCACTTGCTCAATTCTTTTCTCCCACAAAGGTGCAGGCCGCGAGGGAGCAAGCAGATGCTAATGAAACTGCGAAAATCGATGATCAGGCACGCAAGGAGGATATGAAGCTTCAACGAACGATTCTTCATGAGCAAAAGCAGGCAGAGCTCATGGAGCGGAAGGAACAACGTGAGAAGGAATGTTTAGAAGCTGCTCAACGCTGTGAGGAGGCCAAAGCTGCAGCTGCAGCTAAACATTGTATAGAGAAGCAACGGTGAGATGAACAGAAGCTTCAACTGCAAAAAGAGAAGGAAGAACGTGCTGCTAAACATCATGAAGCACAGTTGGCAAAGAAGGCACTCGCGGAGGCCTCAAAGAGGCCTACAAGAAGATCAACAGTGGGCTCAAAACACCGTAGAAGCTCTATACAGCCTTCTAAAAGCGGTAATAAGTGCCGCACGCAGGCCCCCCCAGTGGAATCAAATGATATTCCTTCTCTGAAACCTTCTACGCCGCGATCCGATTCAACCGTTTCAAAACCACGAGTTTCACGTTCCGGGCGGATTATTAGGCCAAGCAATCGTTCTCTGAATTAATCATATATATTTATATGATGTATTCTACATATAGTTTTAATCTTTAATAAATAATATTAATATCTTCTTGCATTGTTGTGCTACAGTTGAAAATTAACGGCTCTATAGAGCGCTTTTTGGAGTTCGTTGGGTGGATGAGTTCGTTGAGTGGTGAGTCACGTTAGCGTAGATGGGGGCTGAAGGCACAGGACTCAGCCCACTTTGCCTAGGTCGGTGTAATCACGTGAAAAGCTATGCACCATAGGAATTGGTGCAAGCATGTCATGCTCCATCTTCCATCAAATACAGATTCATTTTGCCTGCAGAATGGGTAAGTAACATCCATCTCTTTATGACTTGGTCTCTGACAGTTATCACAAAGTTGGAATTCATTGTAACCAGTGTTAGAAACCCTTTCACATAGAGAGAGCTGTGAGCTGTGTAAAACCATTGAGTTGATATACATGCAATTATTATTGCAGAGGACATCATCAGCGCTCTAAAAGCAGGCCATTATTTGAAAGAGGTATTCAGCAATCACATTTGCAGCTTAAGAGATATAAAACAGTGCCTACAATCATATCAGCAACATGATTGATATGAGTCTCAGCCACACCTACACAAGTGCTCTGCTGCATGATGTCAGTTGTAATAGGCGCAACGGAGATATCTATATTAGGAAATAGATACGTGGCGATAGATACGTGGCGATGGCAATATTATCTATATAATGCTCGCTGATATCCGTGGATTTTAGGAGATCAGCGATTAGCTTTGAACAATAGAGATTGCTACCTTCTTAATATCCTTTGTGCGTACTTCACACTACTCTTGTAATTACTCTTGTAGCCCATCTCTTACAATAGTACAAGTTTAAGACTGCTGATAACCTGCCACAACATATCTGAAATACAGCTGATCTTAGCCATCAGTTTGACAAAGAGATACTGAATGAGAGATACTGTTTCCAGTGTGGGAAAGAGTTTGCTTCTGCCAAATCTCTTTGATTGCACAAGAAACACGATCATTTAGAATCAAGCCGCTTCAGAATTGATGCTTTTAAACAATTGTGCAGAGCTTGTGAGTTCCATTGCTCATTTGAATAGCATCCACACTAACAGAGACAGCCCTGTTGTCTTGATGTAGTGTATCAGTCCATTCTAAATGTTTCTCTATTTACCTTTAATTAATCGATTTCATTGAAAAGCGAGGGTTCCAACTGCGAGGGTTCCAACTGTTAAAAGTGTCAGGAATCATCTCTTTAGGGCCAACGACCAGGCGGTAAACTTTGGCCCACCATCCCCAATATGGACTAATTCAGTCACGTGATTCTCGAAATTTCGATTCAAAAATGGAAATGGGCATGCTTATTGATGAGTGTTTGAGTTATACCAGAAATATTCTTAGAGTCCAGCAACAGAGTTAGCAATAGAAGGTTTGGGCTGAACTTGTGCTTGCAACTTGGGGATGATTTCAAGGACATCTGCAGTACGGCCTTCAAAATCTCGTTGATGAATGAGCAGGACCTTGGGCGCAACAGAGGCAGTATAACCGCAACGACAAAATACCGCCAAATTATAGCCTAATTTTATTACAGAAAGGATCGAAAAAGTATCGAAAAATTTCATTCCAAGCTGCTGGGGAGAATCTATTGGGCTTGGCCGGCCTCTGCTTCCGGGAATCTCTCTCCTACACGATATCACGTGCTAAAGTAGCCCTCATTACGGACTGCCCAACAACAATCATTCCTGGATAAGCTTGTGAAATAATTCTGCGATCCTCGCGGCACTCGATTATAAGAACTTCTGCTGCTACTGTCCTCAGTGCATATTGCACTATAGAGAAACCAAAAAGTTGTGATCCATCGCCATATGCCTTGTTCAGCGACCTTCACCCCATCTCGCAAGCGTCAGCATCCTTTGTCACTTTGCAACACGTCGCGATATCACCCGAAAAGACAGAAGCTCAGCGAGTCAGCATGAGCGTATTGGGATAACCTGTCAAAGATTTGCTCCCCCTAACCGCCCACTAAAAGAGCTGGACCGAAGAAACAGTCGCCCG